CCCCCATAGTGTATAAAATGGTTAGGTGTTTTTTGTGTATAGTTTGGGCCATATAGGCCGTAAGCGGCAGGTTTAGTATGGAAATTGTTTATGGTTTACGTTTATGTCTGAGCCATAAAGGCTCCTAATTATATGGTCTTGGCCATAGAGGCCTTGTACTGTACATATTGTATATAAGTTCTGTTTTTTCCTTTCAGGTTATGGACTTTTATGTTCTTTGTTTATTATTTCTCCCACAGGGGTTGTTGGGACTTTTTCAGTTTCTTTGTTTAGTTTTGTATTTATTTATTCTATTTATTATACTTTGTACTTTTATATATAAGTTGAGGATGGATATGTATGACATTAATACATAAATAAAAAATCTCCATCCTGCCTTGTATCAACGGTTCAGGCTGGTGGTGATGGTGTAATGGTGTGGGGGAGATTTTCTCGGCACTAGGAAGGTGTACCTAATAAAGTGGTCGGTGAGTGTATTTCTGAAAGCAGAGACCATGGAGAATAAAATGGTGGCAGTTTTTGTGTTGCACAATATTTGTGTTACTATTTATGAAATCATTATTTCATCACTATAATTAAATTATCTATTAATTATTATTAAATTAAAAAAAACCACAAATGACTATTAGTGCAAACAAACACAAAATTAAACCCAAAATATGAATGATTGGGCTGCGTCAAGTAAATAGATGCCAAACATATTGAGCCTTAAAATTGTATGCACCCTGAAATCCTGAAATCGCGAAAACTATGGTACCCGAAGGTCTCACTTTAAAAGGCAGGTTATCATTTTAGAGTGTAGCACTCCCCTCTTAGGGGCTGCCGGATTTGATTTGGGTCTCTCTATGCTCTGCACAGCCAGGCAACATGCATTTCCCACGTCTTGCACACTGGAGACAGTAAACAGTCCTCGAGCTTGGTTTTGTGATTTTTTTTAAGGGGTTAAACATGGATAGGGTCTAGGGTATACTGTGTACAAAAATGTTGGGTTGGCTCCTTCTCTGCTACACAGGCTGTCCTTCCCAGGAGACACTGAGGCAGTGGAGATCCTCCCATGCAGTATCCTGTCTGTAGGTAGGCTCCTCTCCCTGGGGCCCCCTCCCTGGCTCCTCACTCCAGCCTTCCCTCAATCCATTTTCCACCTGACTCTCACTCACTTCTTCTGCTGAAGTTCTCTGATATTTGAGAATTGCCGTGGTCACCATGCCCAGCCTCCTGCCAAGGGATTGGCCACAGTCCCTCAAACACGCAGATCTGGGCTTCCTCCTCCACCTCCTCCCCTGTTCCAAAAAGTTATCATGTTTCTGGAAAGGTGGGAGGGGTCCAGAAGCTCTGACCTGTTAGAGCCTCCCAGCCTGTCCTGAGGTAGCCTCACTACCTCATATGACTCATCCCAGGCTGCTACTCAGCCTCTAATTAAAAAAGAAAAAAAAAAAAAACAAACATCCTATCTAGATAACCTGAAAGGCATTACAAGAGTTAACTGTGAATTATGGTCCTAGAATGATTGCTCTCACATGTGTGGTGTGATTTACATGATCGCGCCTTACACTGCATGCTTGCATTAGGATATGCATGGGGTGTTTGTAATTTTTTAATTATTTGTAATTATTTTATTATAATATTTTAAAACACTTTTTAATAGATTTTTTTAATTTACCTTTATTACTATCACAACAATTATGGTCCTCGAATTATGGCTCTCACATGTGTGACGCGATTTATGTGTACATACATGATCATAGCCTACATTGCACATTTGCATTGGGATGTTTGCGGGGGTGATTGTATTTTTTTTTTTTCCTTGTAATTTTTTAAAACACTTTTTAATTTTTTTTTCTTTATTTACCTGTATTGACATCACAACAACTTTGTTTCTATTCCAGCAAGCACCCTATATTATAGCATGAGCAGGTGACAGATAATCTTTAAGGAGAAATCAAGAGTCTATTAGACCCCCAATGTCTCCTGTGCAGCTAATCAACCACAGAGTGTGCTTGATTATCTGCTTCCCCAGCTACAGAAGCCAAGGAATGACAGCTTGGACCCAGAAATGGCATAATACACATCACTTTATTAGTTCATCCGTTGGTAGCAGGGGGGATTTGCGAATGGATGTTCCCCAATTACCTGCTGCTGTCAATGATACAGCACATTACAGCTGTCCCAGGCTTTACAGAGGGGGAAGGGGAGGAGCAGATGACAGATCCTCTTTATGGACACATCAGGGGCAGGGGCGGACTGACCATTTGGAAACTCGGGCATTGCCCGAGGGCCTGGGGTCAGTAGGGGGCCCCATGAGATGCCCCTGGTACCTTTTTCATAGGCTTTTTTGAGTTTGGGCAAGGACACAGGGGCCCCATGATCCCCTATTGCCCAGGGGCCCCATGAGTTGTCAGTCCGCCCCTGACCAGGGATCTATTAGACCCCCAATGTCTCCTGTGCAGCTAATCAACCACAGAGTGTGCTTGATTATCTGCTTCCCCAGTACAGAAGCCAAGGAATGACAGCTTGGACCCAGAAATGGCATAATACACATCACTTTATTAGTTCATCCGTTGGTAGCAGGGGGGATTTGCGAATGGATGTTCCCCAATTACCTGCTGCTGTCAATGATACAGCACATTACTGCTGTCCCAGGCTTCACAGAGGGGGAAGGGAGGAGCAGGTGAAAGATAATCTTTTTGGAGACATCAGGAGCCTATTAGACCCCAATGTCTCCTGTGCAGCTAATCAAACACAGAGTGTGCTTGATTATCTGCTTCCCCGGCTACAGTAGCCAAGGAATGACAACTTAGACCCAGCAACGGCATAATTCGCATCACTTTATTAGTTCATCCGTTGGTAGCAGGGGGGATTTGCGAATGGAGGTTCTCCAGTTACCTGCTGCTGTCAATGATACAGCACAATACTGCTGTCCCAGGCTCCCTAGAGGGGGGAGGGGGAGGAGCAGATGACAGATCCTCTTTATGGATACATCGGGGGTCTATTAGACCCCCGATGTCTCCTGTGCAGCTAATCAAGCACAGAGTGGGGGAAGGTGAGGAGCAGATGACAGATCCTCTTTATGGAGACATCAGGAGTTTAGTAGACTCCCAATGTCATCCATGCAGCTAATCAGGCACCTAGTGTGCTTAATGAGCTGCTTTCCCTGCTACAGTAGCCAAGGAGCGACAACTTTGAACCCGGAAATGACATAATACACATCAGTTTATTACTTGATTCATTAATAGCAGGGGGATCAGGGAAAGTTTGGGCAGCTGCCCAGAAGACATGTGCTGGCTCTAAAAATCCGTACCAAGCTCTGAGCTTGCTTTAACCCCTTGAATACCAGAGCATTTATAAATGTAGCTTGGAAGACAAGGAGTTAAACACCTAAAGTATGGCAATAAGCATGACTGTTGGATTCCCCGAGGCTAATACTTACCTACTCCATAAAACCACCTCCCCCCTTCAAAAACCTTCCCCACCCAAATAAACACGCAACTCTCTTTCTGGTGTAAAACTGGCCATAGCAGCCATTTATTTACCAAAACTCAAACATAAATTTCTTACAGTAACTTAATTGATACCTGACAGTAAGATCCCAAACTGGGTCCAAGGTCTCGGAGGCACCAGTACTCCCATCACAAACTCGGCTGTATCTGACACCCAATGAAAGGCCCCCAGCCGCTACTACACCGCCTCGGGGACAATACTACCATTACTTAGCCCAGATACAGCCAATGAACTACCACATTACCAACATGACCTTTTATTGGGAAGGGACACCCATACCTACGATGGGCCCAACCCATAATTCCTCAACTTGTCACTCCAACACCGCCTTCAAAGACCCATCGACCCCTGCCAGCTGCCATGACAAAACGAACAAACACTTCGGGACACAACAGCTGTCCTGAACACTGAACAAACACAATGAACCCACATAAAACAAATACCACGAACAACAAACCAAACAGCAAACCAACACCGGGACAAACACAAAGACAAAACTATAACCAACACAACAAACAGAATACAAAACCAACTCCAGGGCGGGAGGGCGGGAGGGCAGGAGAAACCACCTCCGTGATGGCACAAGCTCCGACTGACTCCGACAAGACCCAACCCCCCTTTTCAAATCCTGCAAGACCACCCCACACTGATGCGTACTCCAATCAAGTAGGTAACCACCCCCCTAATCTTTTGCTTAGACTCCCACCCAAATTACACTCTTTGCCTCGTCTGCACGCCCCAGTCATGCTGGCCCTCCCTTATAGCTTCGCTCAGTCCAGGCCTTGACTAATCATGCAGCAGTACAGCTTTAAGAGTGTTAGATATATTCAGGTCTTCGAGAGCAGGTAGATTTTATTTGAATTTTTCACGTTACAAGAGACTGCTTGCAAGTTACGAAGGACTTGCGCTCCTGCGATAGGCCATTCAAACGCCGGCTAGCTCAATGCACTAACAAGGCAGGTTTTCATTGCTCTAGTACTGGTTTGAATACTAGAAATGTATGTGTTACAAGAAAGTGAGGCAAAAGTGGTGCTAATTTGCTACATTTTAGAAATTTCAGCCATGCCTTATTTTTAGAAGCAATGTCTTGCCTTTCATCGGAGTTCTTCCATAAGATTGGTCTGGCCCCCATAGCAGAGGGATGTGATGTGCGGTATTAGTCGATCTAATCCCCAGAGACACATGCTGACTATTTTTATATTTTACTGCATAGTCCTGTATAAGGTGCCAGATTTCTGCTAATGAGCTGAACCTGCCGGAGCAGAGAGGCCTCACCGAGACGAGGCTCCGATGGACCTATCCTGGGAATGGTGCAGACCACAGGTGGTTAATCAGCTTCAGAATAGCCTGCTTTTTCCTGTTCTAGTCCTGCAATGTAACAAGACCTACCTGGAGGAGTTAGTGGTCTTCTTTAAATTGAGGAAGACTAGCACTGTGTTACAGTCAAAGGTATTTCTTCACCAGGAGGGACTTTTGATATACACTATTTTGCCAAAAGTATTGGGCCCCGCCCTCCAAATCATTGGATTCAGGTATTCCAATCACCTCCATGGACACAGGTGTATAAAATCAAGCCCCTAGGCACGCAGACTGCTTCTACAAACATTGGTGAAAGAATGGGTCGCTCTCAGGAGCTCAGTGACTCCAAGCGTGGTCCCGTGATAGGTTGTCACCTGTGCAATAAGTCCATCCGTGACATTTCCTGGCTGCTAAATATTCCATGCTCAACTGTTAGTGGGATTATAACAAAGTGGAAGCAACTGGGAACAACAGCAACTCAGCCACCAAGTGGTAGGCCACGTAAAATGACAGAGTGGGGTCAGCGCATGACGTTGCCAACTGTCTGCAGACTCAATAGCTAAAGACCTTCAAACTTCATGTGGCCTTCAGATTAGCACAACAACAGTGCGTAGAGAGCTTCATGGAATGGGTTTCCATGGCCGAGCAGCTGCATCCAAGCCTTACATCACCAAGTGCAATGCAAAGCGCCGGATATCGTGGTGTAAAGCACGCCGCCACTGGACTCTAGAGCAGTGGAGACGTGTTCTCTGGAGTGACCAATCACGCTTCTCTGTCTGGCAATCTGATGGACATGTCTGGGTTTGGTGGTTGCCAGTAGAACGGTACTTACCTGACTGCATTGTGCCAAGTGTAAAGTTTGGTGGAGGGGGGATTATGGTGTGGGGTTGTCTTTCAGGGGTTGGGCTTGGCCCCTTAGTTTCAGTGAAGTGAAATCTTAAGGCGTCAAGTTGGATAATTTCATGCTCCCAACTTTGTGGGAAGAGTTTGGGGATGGCCCCTTCCTGTTCCAACATTACTGCGCACCAGTGCACAAAGCAAGGTCCATAAAGACATGGAGGAGCGAGTTTGGGGTGGAGGAACTTGACTGACCTGCACAGAGTCCTGACCTCAACCCAAGAGAACACCTTTGGGATGAATTAGAGTGGAGTCTGCGAGTCAGGCCTCCTCCCCCGACATCAGTGCCTGACCTCACAAATGTGCTTCTGGAAGAATGGTCCAACCTTCCCATAGACACCCTCCTAAACCTTGTGGACAGCCTTCCCAGAAGAGTTGAAGCTGTTATAGCTGCAAAGGGCGGGGCCAACTCAGTATTGAACCCTCCGGACTAAGACTGGGATGCCATTAAGAGTCAAGTGCGTGTAAAGACCGGCCGACCAATACTTTTGGTAATGTAGTGTATATCGATTGCCAAATTTTAAAAATCTTTTCAGTTATGGTATCCACCATGAATTGTCTTTCAGAGAGTACCACAAATCTAACCAAGCCCTAAGACTCCATTTACACCTGAGAGTAGCTCGAGCTGTTTTGGTGCGCTTTTTACACTTTAATGCGCGTTGCGCCTAGGGCAGCCCGATACGTGCCCTAAGAACATCAAATGCCTCAATGTAGCTTCAGAACCTTTTTGGTCGTGGAGCATTGGACTTTATTCATTGCGTGTTTTGTCACGTTTGTAGTACTTTTTTGCGTGGCAAAGCAAGCATCTGCCACCCATGCTTGAGACCTGCCATTGCAGGGCATTTTCAGCGCATTTCCGAAACAAGTAGCAAAAATGCACAATTTTCTGTGTTTTGTTGCAGGTTTGAGAAATTCTGACACAGATGTCTATGCAAATCGCATGAAATGTAGGGCATGTACTATAGAAACCGGTGTGGCTCCAACCAAGTCAGAACCGCACCGATATGACCGCTCTAATAATGGACAATAGGGTGCGACATGCAAATCGCATGCCAAATCGCACCCGATGGGACTGGGGGCTAATGCAGGTCATAGACGGTTCATTTATCAGCCGACTTTTCGTCCACAAGAATAATCGGCCGATTTTCGCACCGTTAGTGGGGCAATGGCATCGGACCAGGGGCGGACTGACAACTCATGGGGCCCCCGGGCAATAGGGGATCATGGGGCCGTTGTGTCCTTGCCCAAACTCAAAAAAGCCTATGAAAAAGGTACCAGGGGCATCTCATTGGGCCCCCTACTGACCCCGGGCCCTCAGGCAGTGCCCGAGTTTCCTAATGGTCAGTCCACCCCTGCATTGGACGATTTTTGCGGTTCATCTTCATTTCATTTATCGGTCATGCTGGAAAATTCGTGAAAAAGGCCGATTTTCTAAATCATTGGTGGCACCATCGGATTACAGAACGAACGATGTTTCGTTTTTCGGATGAAAAATCGGCCGATAAACGAACCGTTTATGGCCTGCATTAGAGCTCTAAAAAGAAGTCTGCTTTGTGCTAGTCTGGGATCCTCACAGCTGTAGTCAATGGGGTTTATTTACTAAAGCTGGAAAGTGCAAAATCAGACCTGGCTCACACCAATGCACTTTGTTTTGATCCGTTTTTGCAATGCTTTTTGCATTTCGGTTTGTGTTTTTGCATATATGTTGCATATTTGCTGTGTTTTTACTGCATTTTGCGTTTTTTCTGTTTTTTTTTTTTTTTTTTTTGTTTTTTGTTAAAGGGGAAATGTTTTTGTTGCTGGGCAGTATAAAAACGCAAAACGTGGCAAAAACTCACTACATGCATTTCAGCAGCGTCTCCATTGAACCCTATTGTAAGCAAAAACGCTGCTTTTTGCGTTTATAAAAAGTCCCTGACACTTTCTAAATACGCAGCAGCTCAAAAAAGCATAGATGTGAACATTCCCCATAGGAAACCATGTTAAATGGACTGTAGTGAACATTCCCCATAGGAAACCATGTTAAATGGACCGTAGTGAACATTCCCCATAGGAAACCATGTTAAATGGACCGTAGTGAACATTCCCCATAGGAAACCATGTTAAATGGACCGTAGTGAACATTCCCCATTGGAAACCATGTTAAATGGACCGTAGTGAACATTCCCCATAGGAAACCATGTTAAATGGACTGTAGTGAACATTCCCCATTGGAAACCATGTTAAATGGACCGTAGTGAACATTCCCCATAGGAAACCATGTTAAATGGACCGTAGTGAACATTCCCCATTGGAAACCATGTTAAATGGACCGTAGTGAACATTCCCCATTGGAAACCATGTTAAATGGACTGTAGTGAACATTCCCCATAGGAAACCATGTTAAATGGACTGTAGTGATCATTCCCCATAGGAAACCATGTTAAATGGACCGTAGTGAACATTCCCCATAGGAAACCATGTTAAATGGACCGTAGTGAACATTCCCCATAGGAAACCATGTTAAATGGACCGCAGTGAACATTCCCCATAGGAAACCATGTTAAATGGACCGTAGTGAACATTCCCCATAGGAAACCATGTTAAATGGACTGTAGTGAACATTCCCCATAGGAAACCATGTTAAATGGACTGTAGTGAACATTCCCCATAGGAAACCATGTTAAATGGACTGTAGTGAACATTCCCCATAGGAAACCATGTTAAATGGACTGTAGTGAACATTCCCCATTGGAAACCATGTTAAATGGACTGTAGTGATCATTCCCCATAGGAAACCATGTTAAATGGACTGTAGTGAACATTCCCCATAGGAAACCATGTTAAATGGACCGTAGTGAACATTCCCCATAGGAAACCATGTTAAATGGACCGTAGTGAACATTCCCCATAGGAAACCATGTTAAATGGACCGTAGTGAACATTCCCCATTGGAAACCATGTTAAATGGACCGTAGTGAACATTCCCCATAGGAAACCATGTTAAATGGACCGTAGTGAACATTCCCCATTGGAAACCATGTTAAATGGACCGTAGTGAACATTCCCCATTGGAAACCCTGTTAAATGGACTGTAGTGAACATTCCCCATAGGAAACCATGTTAAATGGACTGTAGTGATCATTCCCCATAGGAAACCATGTTAAATGGACCGTAGTGAACATTCCCCATAGGAAACCATGTTAAATGGACCGTAGTGAACATTCCCCATAGGAAACCATGTTAAATGGACCGCAGTGAACATTCCCCATAGGAAACCATGTTAAATGGACTGTAGTGAACATTCCCCATAGGAAACCATGTTAAATGGACTGTAGTGAACATTCCCCATAGGAAACCATGTTAAATGGACTGTAGTGAACATTCCCCATAGGAAACCATGTTAAATGGACTGTAGTGAACATTCCCCATAGGAAACCATGTTAAATGGACTGTAGTGAACATTCCCCATTGGAAACCATGTTAAATGGACTGTAGTGATCATTCCCCATAGGAAACCATGTTAAATGGACTGTAGTGAACATTCCCCATAGGAAACCATGTTAAATGGACCGTAGTAAACATTCCCCATTGGAAACCACGTTAAATGGACCGTAGTGAACATTCCCCATAGGAAACCACGTTAAATGGACCGTAGTGAACATTCCCCATAGGAAACCATGTTAAATGGACCGTAGTGAACATTCCCCATAGGAAACCATGTTAAATGGACCGTAGTGAACATTCCCCATAGGAAACCATGCTAAATGGACCGTAGTGAACATTCCCCATAGGAAACCATGTTAAATGGACCGTAGTGAACATTCCCCATAGGAAACCACGTTAAATGGACTGTAGTGAACATTCCCCATTGGAAACCACGTTAAATGGACTGTAGTGAACATTCCCCATAGGAAACCATGTTAAATGGACTGTAGTGAACATTCCCCATAGAAAGCCATGTTAACCTCCCTGGCGGTATGATTATTTCAGATTTTTGGTGCTGAAAAGCGGTACCATTATTTTGCATGGAAATTTGGCGTTTTATATTATAGGCCTGTAATTTTTAGGAATAACTCACTGAAATCTGTCCGAACAAGAGTCTAGTAAACATCCTGGGTATGATAAAACTTGAAACACGAAATCATAAATTATAATTTAATAAATAATCATAAAAAAATAATAATATAATAATAACAAATTTAATTCAATAATATAATCAAACCAAAAACACAGAAATTTGAAATATAGCGCCAAGTTCGCACATCGCTGAGCAAAGTCGCAGAATCGTTTTCAGTGTCTGATGAGGAATTTCCCCCACAAATCATTATCACTCAATTCTGCAAGTGGTTCTGATTTACTATCGCTGTTCTCTAGCCGGTCTAAAACCGCTTTTGACCTAAAGGGACGCTTTTTGGACGCCATGGACGTTTCTCAGTTTCCAGGCAGAAAGAACAGTAAAAATGCAGGCAGGGCGCCGGACAAAGCACTCAGGACAAAATGTATGTGAAATGGTTTGATACAGGAATGTTATACTATGTGATTTTAGTGTATGTAGTGAATGTCACTTTTTGACATTTTCAAATTTCCCGCCAGTTCTGTCCCCCGTACGTCCCGACGTCACAGGGAACGGAACCCGGAAGACAGATGCCGGCATCCGCCGGAGGACATTGCCAGGGACACTGCAGGGGGGACATCGCGGGAGCGCAGGACAAGGTAAGTGAAGAAGAGATCCCGGAGCAACGCTGCAGTGTATTCCCGAGTGTAGCTCAGGGTTACCGCTTGTGGTGCTGAAACTTTACCCCGAGCTACACTCGGGAATACCGCCAGGGAGGTTACATGGACTGTAGTGCGTTTCTGCAAAAGGCACTAAAAAACGCATTGGTGTGAACCAGGCTTCAGGCTCACTTCTGCATATAAACCAATCAGCTTCTAACCTCAGCTCGTTCAATTAAGCTTTGGAAAATAAAACCTGGAATCTGGTTTCTCTGCAGAGGTGAGCCTGATTTTGTACTCTCCAGCTTTAGTAAATAAGCACCAATGTGTCTATCCTCCTAGTAGTTGGTCTCCTCTGCACCTGGTTCCTTTGATCTTCCCTAACATTCATTCATCTTTATATACGCATATACAAAACAGAAAATCACAAACAAAAAAA